AAATAAATGAGTCATAGAGTACGACCTTCATTCGTAACTACATAGGTTGGAAAAGATTCCACAAGACAGAAAGCTTTATTTGATACATGTATAAATAAATGGAGTACAAGGGAGTACTTCATTCAAAGTGCGACTCGACTTAACTTTTGTTCTCACCGAGGCTTTGAGAATAATACAAGAATCAAGGATAAAGTCAACATCGATTCAATGTGATTAGAAAGAATATTGCAAAAATAAATCCTCAAGCTCATATTTTTACATGAATAAAGATGAATAACAACAAATTTTCATTGATTAGAACACAAGTAATGCAACGTAACCGTTGCTAACTCTCTACTGAAAGTCGTGGCCTCATTCTCCATCTAAAATGGGTGTCAGTTCGTCAGATAATTGTATGAAAATGCAGCTGTACGTCAAGTATAAACCAGATGCCACTTTTTTCTCGTATAGTCATGTTCTTGCTAAGAACTTGTGAACTATCAATTTCCAACGACTACGTGTGATGCCGTTCAGACCTAGAATCGAACTGACATCTGAGACCGGCGTGTACCGCTTTAACGACGAATTTAGATCAGCTGGCTGCCGGCCGTTCTCATCCAGTTCGCAAAACAAATCAGACCGCTTTCAAGTCTGAAGCGGTTGAGTCTTAAAATTAACTCCCTTCCAAAGTTAAATCAAGAAAAACATAGCAGTCCGTGTCAAGATGAAGACTTATATTGTGCTGTGCATGATTAGGCTTAATAATAATTCCAGGAAGACTCTTACTGATTTTTGTGATTTGCTTAGTGCCTTTTATTCGGAGAAACATATGCTATACTGGATACATTATGAAAGTAGCATCAAATGATTGGCTTTGGAAATAATCTATTGCACGTAAACCTATTTCAGAAACATCTCAAAATCTTCTCGTAATCAACGACTGGGCACGTGTATCCGGCATAATTTTTCGCATCTTTTTAATATCCTCATCTACCTGATGCATATAAATAGCTAGTTATAACTTCGCAATCATGTACTTCTTTTATATCCACATATCCTATCTGACGTTCTATCTAAAGAGCTAACGCAGTAATAGTTGAGATGCAAAAACGATGAATAGATACCGATGACAGGATTGTGCTTCTTCTAATTATTTAAACTAGATATCTTAGTCAATGCTAAACTTTATAATCAGAACTACAATAGAGTTCGCATGACACTCACCAAAGTGATGGATACTTATGAATTCATTAATTTTTTGATCAAAATCTAGAAAAAAAGCCTAAAACATGATGTATTACAAGAAACTAACTTTAAACTCACAATTTTTACTTTCGATAGTCTTAGTCACGTTTTCAGAAAACATTTTTTGTCGCAAAAACTGAACGAAATTTTTTTTATTAAAATATTAACATCAGATTCGAGATCCGCGACTCTGATTACCTTTCAGTCAACCATTACTACTACCAACTAGTGTTACGTAACACTTGAAGTCAAAATGAACGTACTATCTGTGCATTTATTCAAATGGGAAAAAAATGAATGAAAATTGCAAGTTTCGAACAGCTATGATCATTTTTTTCGCTTTGATCACTGATGCATAAACCAACGGCTTTTTTAGCAAAAAGAAACTACCAGGCAATCATGTTGCGCGTAGACGACTAAAGAATACATTTTTCTTACCTCTTTCATACACATAACAAAATATACACAAGTTAAGATGAAATTTCGACAAATACAAAACGTTCTCATTCCTTTGCTTTTGTGATCATTGATGTGTACGCTACATGAGTACTGTTTTTATGAAAAAGGAAAAAAACATACTGTAGAGGGTGAGGGTGACGGTGTGGGTGTAAGGATGTATAGGTGTAAGTGAAACTGAACCTATTTCTACTCCTATCTGGTAGTTTACTGTAAGAATTAGATAGTCATCTACTTATATTCGAATGTATATTAGTCTGTCGAGAGTGAAATTAGGCAACTCATATTTTTGTTATATGACAATTCATCTAGATTGATACATAAATATGCTTCAGCAATGGTGAACTGTAGAGATATTCGGTCTATACTTTCACATGATTTTGACGAACTTTCTTATGGCTTATAGGTTTTAAAAAAACAAACATCATTTATTTATCTTAAACAATTCTCAATTGTCAACACTTGACATATAAAATGCAACGTTTTTTCGACTAAATGACTCCCTCCATGCAGATAACATCAGATTCGGGATCCTCGACCTGGATTACCCTTCGGTCAAACCTTATAAGAGATTTTAGTTTTAAAAAAAGTAGACCAATGGAATCATGTGAACGAACGGGCATTAACTCATTCAGCGTATATACCCTCCTTTCAGAAGAGGGAATAAATATTGATATTTTATTAAGGAGATTATTCAGTATTCCAATCTTTTCAGATGTATGAAGATAAATAAATATTTTCTTGTTTTCGATAAGCAGAAGGGCAATATCTCGTTTCATTTTAGTCGATATTCAAAAGTGGGATGATTATTATTATATGAGAGAAATTTGATATATTTATGGCAGAATAACAATATAAAAAGCTTTCCGTATTGATATATGTATAATTGCGGCAGTGTGTGCACTTTTAGATCGATCACATAATGCATTCTATGCACTGGGTAATTGCGCTTCCATTGCTATGTTTCATCTTCGGTGCTATGGGACACGCCCGAATTAAACATCCTCGACCACTGGCAGCTCCTAATGATAGTCCAGCTGGTAATTATTATAATGCTCCATTACGACCGGATGGAAGTGACTTTCCATGCAAGGGCTTACATAAGAAAGCTGACGTTAACAAAAACCCCGCGGAAACATGGAGAGCAGGAGAGATGACACGTTTCGAGTAAGATCGCATACAAATGCATGTGGATCAAATGAATCGTATCGTTTAGAATTCTTGGTCACGGATCATCTGGAGAGGGTTCTCTGGCTGCACATAGTGGAGGTAGTTGTCAGGCTTCACTTTCTTTCGACAATGGTGAAACGTGGAAAGTTTTACATACATTCATTGGTGGATGTCCGAGAGGTGTCCGCCTTGGCTCGAATATTGCTGATAAAAATCAAACATTTCCGTTCATGGTACCAGCAAACACAAAAGCAGGAATCGCATTGTTTTCATGGTAGGTTTTTTCGTTATAATGAACAAGTCAAAGAAACACATTTATTATTTAGGTCATGGATTGCTGTCACCGGCAACCGTAACGAAATGTACCAAAGTATGTTTTCGAAAAACGAGTCTCAACTGCATTATCTCCATGGTATTTGTTTTTCTTTTGAATGATAGACTGTGCCGTTGTTGAGATTACTGGCTCGGGAACAAGCACATTATACGATTTGCCTGATATGTTTGTTGGTGACATGACACTTCCTGGTCAAATTGGTGCTGGTCAATGCCGCAGCTACTCTGGCCATGCCATTGAATTTCCAAATCCGGGTACAGCAAAAACTGTTACTTCAATGCCGAGCATTGGTTTCAAGAAACCTACTGATGGAAATTGTTTTGCGAAGCGTTCCGGTAATAATCAGACAGCTTCATCCGCATCAACAAAAGCTTCGGTAACAACAACAACAACGATGCGTACAACAGCATCAACACGTCCAACAACAACGATGCGTTCAACAACAGCAACGCGACCGACTACGACACACACAACGACAACTATGTCAACAAAAACCACTACAACAGTTCCACTCAATTTTACCATACCAACAGGAATACCTGCTGATGGTAAACTTCCATATCAATGTACAACTTACAAATTGATCACCGATAGTAATCGTCGTGCCACTGCTGCTAGCGGCGTTGCCTGTGATAAGGATGTTTTCAAGGCCACACCTACTTGGGTACGATTTTCAGGCGGTGCTGGTACTCGGCTGGTAACTGGTGCAGCTGAACCATTTCGATGTGGTACACAAGGAGTCGGCTGGTTCAAAGGTGTATATCCATCAGCAGCAGGCGCTACTATTGAAGGAACGGTGTGTTACAGTTGGCCTGGTAAATCATGCCAATGGTCCAATACTATATGGGTCACTAATTGCAAAGAATACTACGTTTTCGCTCTTCTTGCTCCACCAGCCTGCCGTCTGCGCTATTGTACTGCCTAAACAAAGCCAATCTGTGCTCCTTCCTTTTTTGTTCCCTTAATAAAATCCAATCCAGTCCGTTCATGTCATATATATGTCCAAACATGGTATTAGCTAATTGAAATCGTGCTTGAGCAAGTGCGTCTTGACTTACACTTAGATCTAATGAAGATCGGTAAAAGATTACTCATTATCAAAAGATACAAGTAGATATTCAACTTAGAGCCGAATTTTTTCGTTGTTAGACACATAATCTTTCCTGTATAGCAGGTGAAACAAGATGTGTATAGTAAATAAAACATGGAGGGGCAATGATCAAACAGAAAATAACCGAGACGATTGAAAGTAAGGCATATGCGCACGATAGATATAACTGTCGAGATGGTCCAATCAACATCCGATACGTTGATTGTAATACGTGAAAGTAAGCCTGTTAATAGTTGTAAGTAAATTTCCTAGGACACCGGCAAAGATATTTATTTACTGAGTAGCGTAGAGGTGAGAATCGCGATCTGCGAAGGTGTTGATAATTCGATAGGAAAAATTTGGTTTGATGTTTATCATTATATTGGATATACTCTTGAAATGACAGTCACTATTGCTAGGGTATAGCTAATCTATGTAGGTTGTCAAAATTACATAAAAAATTGTCTGAATATTGGTTTTTGAGAGCGTGTGCCGTTCCAGATCAGTATGTTTGTTTTCATAAATTGAATTAATCTAACCAGTGTTGCAGTACAAGATTGAATATGAGATTGACGAAAGCATCTTTGTCTCTCTCTATCCATTGTTCGTGTTAAGGAAGATATTTGCTGAAAAATGACTGATAGGAAATTGTACTTTTTTCTTCTTCAATCTGAGATAATCATTTATTATTTTATAATTTCAGTTAAATTACAATAAATATTTTCATTACGAATTAAACAGTTGCCCGCATGCTGAACATCCTTTATTTGTTAGATCTTGTCTTACTGTACCACATTGGGAGCAAACTTCCATTGTACGTTGGGCCGAATATGGCGGTGGTGTGTAATGATCACTTATTCCAAATCCAATCGTTGGCTGTGACGCCATAGGATTGGAGTAATGCACTGTACTTCCGTTGTGAGGATTAACATAGTTGCCAATATCAATAATCAACTAGAAACAAAAAGAAAACACAAAGATTGTCTAAATCTAAATATTTGTGTATACACTTACGTCATAAGTAGATTGTCCATTCCGATGATAAGCAAATCCTCTATTCCAAGTACTGACAATGTTCAATCGCCAACTGCAAGGAACGGGCGATCTAGACGAATATTTTGCCGATTCTTGTGCAATTATTTGCCGTAGCTTATTCGTACGTTTGGAATGGATGAGAAATATTCCAATACTGAATACAATCGAGCTGATGAAGGTTAAAAGAAATCCAACCGAAATCAAAATTGTAAATGTAGAATGTGGTGTGTTAATCGCCCTTACGCCAGCAATGATAAAGCATATCATACCACCAATTATACCGAATGCAAAAATAAGTGAATAGATTATAAGTGCAGTTTTATTCGAAGATACTGCTCGATTAATATTTTGAATTGATTGATGATACTCATCTTGATTGATAATACCGTTCAGATGCACCGGATATGTCGAATCGAATTCGGCTTTTAGGCATCCTTCTACACAACAGAAAATATGCACATGGATGAGACAAAAATAGACAAGAGCATATACTCGGAATCATCGGTACATGTATAGAATTGAAAACATTCGAAAAGCCAATCATTGTTTTTCTGTTGTTTTGCTGAAAACTACGACAAAATAACGCGTAATTATGACAACTTGTCGAGCTCCGAAGGATTCTAGAAATACGGGTGTTTTTCTCTCTCTACACGACTATAGATCACATTACTAATAAAATATAACGAGAGAACTGAAATTTCTCTAATCTGTTCCTCTTACACATATCGTCATTTTAGATCAACAATAACAGTCAGCATTTGATCGGCCGAGAGAAAAGAAAGAATATCAATATGTCGTTGAGTTTCGACGTCCTCGTTAAATAACAGGATGAAAAAAATACACCGTCAAATGCACTGTCATGTTATTGCCAGTTAGTATGATGAATTTAATATATTCATGTTATTTTTCCACGTTTTTTTATTGGTATGCAAAAGAAATGGAATACGCACAAACATAGAATTTATGCAGAATTATTTTCCTGTCAATATTTATGAAAGGAGTAACCGCATGATGAACAAAATTGACCTGTTAAATCTCTTCGTAATGTATTACATTGCGGACAGTAACTATTCAGTTGTCCTAAATAGGGCGGAGGTGCATAGGTGTTTGGTCCACTGAAAACTATCATTGGATCGGGAGCGACCTGATTATGAAAATACACCACGCTGTTGGGATCGACAGAACGACCAATATCGATGACGATCTGATAGGTATTCATAAGAATAAAGCAAAAACTTTGAAAGGAGTCGACTTACATGATAAGTGACCTGATGTCTATGTTGATTTCCATAATATCCAGTATAAGTANGGGCGGAGGTGCATAGGTGTTTGGTCCACTGAAAACTATCATTGGATCGGGAGCGACCTGATTATGAAAATACACCACGCTGTTGGGATCGACAGAACGACCAATATCGATGACGATCTGATAGGTATTCATAAGAATAAAGCAAAAACTTTGAAAGGAGTCGACTTACATGATAAGTGACCTGATGTCTATGTTGATTTCCATAATATCCAGTATAAGTAGTCGTTGTATCCAATCTCCAACTGCATGGTGTTTGTGAATGGGATGAATATTTTCTTGATTCGTCGGCCACAGCTCGTCGCATTTTATTTAATCGTCGAAATCGTATGCTGCAGCATCCAATTCCAAAAATGAATGATCCAATTACCGTTAAAGCCATACCAATTGCGATCATTGGTGGAAATCTATATGAATCATAATGAGTTGCAGTGACACCACCAACAATGAACAATATAATGCCAACTATCATAGTAACGATAAAAATAAGACTGATTAACCATAAGAGTCGAGTCGATGATATGGATCGATTGATTCTTTGAATAGATTCGTTATATTCACCTTGACTTATGATGCCATTTAGATGAACTGGATAAGTCGAATCAAATTCGAATTTTAAACATCCAGCTAAAAATAGAAGATCGGAACGAGCAGTCGAAAAGTCGCATGAAATTACTTTGTACTACAGGAATATAAACTGAATTTGGATTGACAGGAATACCAATCATATTTAGCGAACGAAAAAATCGAATTTTGAGAAGACTTGTTGAAATACGTATATTCCCTTTTCTGAAAGAAAGGGTTATACAGCGTTTAAATGCTGTGTTAAAAAGCTTAAAGTTTGTCTGTCTGTCTGTCAGTCTGTCCTATCCAATCAGAAATCAGCATTTCTAAAATCAATGAAATTGATCGATCGTTGTTAGAAAATGATTACCGGTAGGGTAATCGAGGTCGAGGATCTCGAATCCGAGGTTAGTTTCTCGAAATTCCAATCAGCTCATTAGCTAATTAGCTAATTAAGTAATGAAAATTTTCTTCGTTGTCGAGTAAGGGTCGACCGAAGGGTAATCGGGGTCGAGGATCTCGGGTGTGAGGTTAGTGTTTCTTAATTAATTATTCATTTTTCGTTAACTAGCCACGATTTATTAACATCCATTGCCAGAGTAGACAGAAGGATTTCTGACGTCGGGAAATTGGAAATTGAGGGTGAATTTCGTTTTATTCGCTGAGCCTGGGCTTGTTCCTTCCTCTTTACAATGAAGATATTTTACTTTATCTGTTCTAAAATCTTTTGTAGAAGATGGTGAGCTGAACGCTCTTCGCGGACATCATGTGTACAAAGATAGTAGCTCAAGAACTTACACGAAAAGATCTAATGCATTGTACATAATGATGTTTCTAATTGAAGAAATCCGAAAAAGGGATATGAGCTTAGTATCATCTTTGCGTTGTAGGCTACATACATCATGTCTTTTTATGGGAATTTAGTAGAAGTAGTTCACAAAGTGATATACCCGTCAGTGGAATTCCATCTTAGTAACTACAGACGCGTGGACTGTANAAGATAGTAGCTCAAGAACTTACACGAAAAGATCTAATGCATTGTACATAATGATGTTTCTAATTGAAGAAATCCGAAAAAGGGATATGAGCTTAGTATCATCTTTGCGTTGTAGGCTACATACATCATGTCTTTTTATGGGAATTTAGTAGAAGTAGTTCACAAAGTGATATACCCGTCAGTGGAATTCCATCTTAGTAACTACAGACGCGTGGACTGTATAAACAGTATTCTGAACACATGCAGTGCTATGAAAGATGTTCGTTTCGAAACAAATCGTTCAGTTTGAAAGTCGATCGAAGGGGAAAGGAATAAGACAGACAGCATGGCAACGGCTAGCCGTGAGTGACCGACCGGAGGGAGGTCGACGAACGACTAGGCGTTTAAATGCTAGATTAATCCTAAAGTGTACGCTTAGAATAGCCTGGCCAGGCTTCAGATAATTTTGAAAGGGATTTGACGAATGGATATTCCTGAATGAAAATATTCGGCAGGGTATCATTTTGTTGACAGGAGAGAAAAGAATCGGTTTATCGCTGGAAGACACGGGCGAATGTTCAAACTTTTCAAGTAGTGTACTGTATATCGTCCGTCTGTGAGTGACTTAGTAAAGCATTTATGAAAATTTCCATGCGCGTGATGTGAAAGAAGAAAAACAGATGACAAAGTCAATGGTTGGCCATGAGTAGCCGTTGAGTGATGAATTTTTCAGTCAATATAGTTAGTGCTGGAGAATTATCCACTGACAAATGGCTAATCGGTCTGATTTCTAAAAAGACCTCTGTATCCTATTCATTCCAGTTCTAGTGTGTGTCATAGTGACATGATTCAGTTGAGCAATAGTAGTAATCGCAGTGCGTTTTTTCTCTTTCGGAGTCTCTGAATGTGTTAAGCATTCGGAAAAGTCTTTCAGAAAAGGGTCAGCGAATCCAAAGGATGAGCGTTACTTGTGTATATGGGCGATGTTTTTGTCAGTGTAATAAAAATAAATTCAGATGACGTTACTTGATAGTAACTATATATCGAAATGTTACTTTATCTCGTTTTTTTATATTCTTGACGCGTGGATTTTGACGTCGCTTTGTATAATTTACTTTCGATAATGGTTTCGTCAACAAATTATGGGCAGCTAGAATTTGTACGTGTGATGGCATAGCTGATTAATAAATAATCAATAAATCCAGGCGAAATCATGCGTTTTTCAAAAAAATATTCTGAGAAATATGTGACAACCTTTTTCGCATGCGCTGTACGCATGCTATTTGTCCATACTTCGTTGCATTTTTGTGTACTTTGATATTATACTTCCTTCCTTTCTATCGAGAGAGGGGTACATAAACGTGTGTTCTGTATTAGAACGAGGCGATTGATGATAGGAAGAAATAAAGAAAGACATGATTACATCGGGATACACATCTCTTCCATCAGAATTCGTCACATTTGGCGACCCTGTCTACTCGAACCTTACTCCTGACATTCGTTAATTTTATTGACTCAATACCTTATATACTTCTTGGCTATGGTAAGTACGGAAGAAAAAAAAGTACCGATTGAAAAAGTCGCTCAAGTTACTTCGGACACTTTGACTCAACATGCAAAAGAAATCCACGATCTCCAAGAATCTATAAAAAGTCTTCAATCTCAATTAGCTGACATACATGAACTGAGAGAAATGGTCGCAGACATTCAACAACATTTTACCTCACCCAATCCTGAATCTTTACCTACTACAAAGGTCAATCATCACACTCCTACAGTACCCACACGTCAATCGACTGATCTGAATACACCTTCTACCCATTACATCTCACCTACAACTCTGGGCACACAAACTATTGTTGTCCCGCCTATCTCTTCCTTTCCAACATTTTCGGGAAAATCAACGGATAGACCGAGGCAATTCTTATTACGTGTCACAGAATATACACGAACTATTCATAACTGGTCTATTAACACGTTATTGCAGGGAATTTCTCAGTTTCTAAAGGATGCAGCTCTCGAATGGTACTGTCAACTCTATAATACAAACAGCTTACCCGAAACGTGGGACGAGTTTGTCACACAGTTTCTGGCACAATTTCATTCACCACTTCGCATCGCACAACAGGAACACAAATGTGACGAATTCTGATGGAAGAGATGTGTATCCCGATGTAATCATGTCTTTCTTTATTTCTTCCTATCATCAATCGCCTCGTTCTAATACAGAACACACGTTTATATACCCCTCTCTCGATAGAAAGGAAGGAAGTATAATATCAAAGTACACAAAAATGCAACGAAGTATGGACAAATAGCATGCGTACAGCGCATGCGAAAAAGATTGTCACAAAATAGAATAAGAAAGTGAATGTAATTCGGACAGTTGTCTTCTATTTTTTCTATTGATGTCGTATAATATCAAGGGATGAATATTGTCATAGGCGTTCTGAAAATCTGTTTGTCTTCGCTCGGTAAACATTCGAACGGTCAGATTATTGTCTTCGGCAGCGTTTCTCTGACTTTCTACGCGATGACAGTCCATTTCTAGACAATCAGAATGTCTGATTCTTTTAGTATCTTTTCAGAACGAGTCGCGATTGTCTCAATATACATGTTGGAATTCTAGTACGGTTGATAGAGACAATACTATCTGTATAATAGAGTCTCACAGACAGTATGTACATATGTACGCGGTATTAAGGAAGTATTGATTTGACAAAAACTACCTTCGAAACATTGTCTTATTCCCAGTGTCCTTCTTATCTTGAACGAAGATGTGTATGTTAATGTTTTAATAGAACTTGTACAGAAAAGATCTCTCAATGTGAGTACGAATGCGTGTTTAGGTGTTCAGATGTTAATGGATCGGCATTCACTGTGTAAATCTATGCAGATTTGCTTGAAGGAAACGCGTTTCAACTTTGTTGTTGTTTTATTGATTAAAACAAAACAAACGAAAAAACGAAACGCTAACGAACGAACGAGAAGAAAGAGAAGAACGTTCTGTCTATGTTCGTTGTGAAACACACACACTCCACGAGACAGAGAGAGAACAAAAACGTGGGAAAATCCACACAAGAAAAAGAAGAGAGAGAACAACGGAAACACTCGGACATATATGTGTGCACGAGCGAAAACGAGAGAAAAACAAATGCGTCATAGAGACGCGTGATGAATGTACGTAGACGCTCTACACCTCCCCTTTTAATTTTATGAAAATGAGTAACGATCGGGAGCTCGACGAGTTCGAGTTGGATAACGTGGCGATGACGACGGATGCAAAATCGCTGGAGGTGGTGGTGCTGGAATAGAGTTCGATGAGAGTGATGGCGATGAAATCGGCGCAG